TCCCAGCCCAGTGCCCTCTCCCCTGCATGGGGGGGTGCTTATCCAAGCCCCATCATCCCTGGGGTGCTGCTCACCCCACTCCTGACACCGTTGGGGTGCCTCTGCCTGCGGCCCCCGCACCCCTGGGTGCCTGTGCCCCCATCCCCAGCACCCCTGGGGTGCTCCTCGCTCCATCCCAGTCACCCTGGGAGTGTCCCACGGTGCCACTTGTCCCTTCCCCATCACCTCCAGGACAACACCGTGGTGCAGGTCATCCCAATCCTGCTCACTCTGGAGTCCTGCTCCCACCAGGGTCCTGCCTCCCCCAGGGTCCCTCTCAGTGCAGCCCCAGCGGTTCCCCGAGGGTCCTGCTGTGGGGACAGGTTGTGCAATGGGTCACACCCCGGCTCCCCACCTCACCGAGCACCCTGATACACACACAGGGAGGTTTTTCCCCTCTGGGTGTGTTCCTCTTCTCTGCTTTCCCGGAATGGGAGAGCTCAGGAGAAAAGAAAATGGGACTAAACTCAAGTGGATGCTGATTCTGCCGAGGGCCCTGCAGCGTCCCTGTGCTGCCAGGGATCTCCAGCAGTGCCAGTGGGGGATTCACTCCCATGGCACTCGGGCACAGCTGGGCTTCACTGGGGGCTCCCAAAATCCAGACCCGTCTGTGCCGCTCCAAGCCACCGACATTCCCTGCTCACGCTCCCGGGTGCCACGTCCCCATCCCTTTGGACTTGGAACCTTCCAGGCACTCTCACACCCTGCTCCCAGCAGAGCCCCCGTCCCCCAGCACCCAGCTGCGCCCCGGAGCCCAGGCAGGATCAAGGCCAGTCTCCGAGGGGGAAAACAATGTCCCGCTGTGTGCGCTGCACCAACAAGGTCATGTTTTGTCTCTGGCCTCCCTCCCCCCCGGCACATCATCATCTCGCCCCCGTCGGAGCGAAATTGCTGTTAATTAAAACAGGCGGCATCTTCCTTATTGACTTTTGGGTGCCAGTTGATAAAGGCCTTGGATGGCTGCCGGGTGCTCCGGCCGGCGGCGAGGGCCGGAGTGTCCCGAGCAGCACAGGAGCCAAGGAGGATGTTCCCCGTTGGAAAACACGCGGGTACCAGGGCTTTGGGAAGACAAACTGCCCAAGGGAGCGTGTGGAATTAGTCAGTGAACAGGATCTGTGTCCCAGCACTTGCCCCTGAGTGTGAGCTCCAGGCTGGTGTCCCCAACCATTTCCTGCTGGGGAGAAAATCCTGGCTGGGGAGTCCTTCTCGCTGTACCAGCAGCCATTCAGCACTGGGCAGTGTCCATCCCAGCTCCACACTTCTCTCCCTACCTTCTAGGAGTTGTTTTCAGTCTCTCTGCTGAGGGTCATTTGGTCCTGGCTCTTCTCTGCAGGAATGCAAAGAGGCCTCATGCTGCTGTCCCATCCCATCC